GATGGACACCTGGAACCACACGAAGCCCAGAATAAGCTCCGTGATCGTTGGCTCTGTCCCTTCCTGTCTGTGGTACTCGCTTCATGGCAGCTGCTGCAGACAGAAGTGGCCCCCAGGGACCCCGGGAGGCCTTCCAGAAACCCCACCCTGGAAACAGATCCCACCCTCCTCCTTCCGCTGTGCCCCCCACACAGCTGGCCTGGCTGTTCCCTCTTCCCATCAGCCCCTCCCACCAGGCTAAGGGGGCCTTGAGGGGGCACCAGGTCTTCTCCAGCCAACTTAGCACCGCGTACTGCTGCGCGCACGGGTCAATGGCATCGTCAGGCCCGAGGATTCTAAGCTGAGAATGATCGTGTGTGAAGGGCAGGGCTCCATGAAGTGCTTCGGCTTCACGCGGGAACGAGCTCTTCACGGCACCTGGCCCGCGGGCGGTTGCTTGGCTCGTGCCGGTTCTCTTCCTTCCAGAGGACCAGCAAGAGGATCCACCGGTCCCTGCCAGAATTGGAGCAAGGTCCTCAGCGACCGCCTGGACTCACACGGTCCCAAGAACATTTCTCTGATCCATTTCCTGCCTTGGTGGGTTTCATCTTCGCCCCTCCTTAGGGAGGAGGAAGAGGAAGAAAGACCCCACACAGTCTCTTTTACACTATTAACTGAAGAAAAATGAGTGTCCTTTGAAGATTTTTTAAGATTAGAAAACTAAAAGAAGTCAAAAGGAGCCAAATAGGACTATAAGGTGGATGCCTAATGATTTCCCATCAAATCTCTTACAAAGTTGCCCTCGTGTCCTGAAAGGGATGAGCAGGAGCACTGTCGTGGTGGAAAAGGACTCTCTGATGAAGCTTTCCTGGGTGTTTTTCTGCTAAAGCTTTGACTGACTTTCTTAAAATACTCTCCTAATAAGCAGATGTGATTGTTCTTTGGCCCTCCAGAAAGTCAACAAGCAAAACGCCTTGAGCATCCCAGACAACTGTTGCCATGACTCTTGACTGGTCCACTCTTGCTTTGACTGGACCACTTCCACCTCTTGGTAGCCATGGCTTTGATTGTAGTTTGTCTTCAGGATTGTACTGATAAAGCCATATTTCATCTCCTGTTACAATTCTCCCAAGAAATACTTCAGCATCTTGGTTCCACTTGTTTGACATCTCCATTGAAAGCTCTGCTCTTGTCTGCAGCAGATCTGGGTGCAACAGTTTTGGTGCCCATCGAGTGAAAAGTTTGCTCAACAATTTTTCAGTCAGAATTGTGTAAGCTGAACCAATTGAGATGTCTATGGTGCTGGCTAGTAATTGTCAATCTTCA